CACAGAGAATGTTCTCACCATCTGAGTGAGGGAGTGAGTGCTCAGAAGGGGCAGGTGTTACAGTTGAATCATAGAGAACGGTCTCACCATCTGAGTGAGGGAGTGCCCAGAAGGGGCAGGTGTTCCAGCTGAATCACAGAGAATGTTCTCACCATCTGAGTGAGGGAGTGAGTGCCCAGAAGGGGCAGGTGTTCCAGCTGAATCACAGAGAACGTTCTCACCATCTGAGTGAGGGAATGAGTGCCCAGAAGGGACAGGTGTTCCAGCTGAATCACAGAGAATGTTCTCACCATCTGAGTGAGGGAGTGCCCAGAAGGGGCAGGTGTTACAGCTGATTCACGGTTTTATTTTTCTTACTTGACCAGTTCACAGACTGCTAGAGCTGAAAGGCATTTTAAAGACTGTCTTTGTCAGTCATTATTTTATAATTGAGGAAACCGAGGCCCAGAGAAGTGACATGGTGTGGTCCCAGAGCACCCAGGGTGTGATGACTACCTAGAAGAATCACTTTCAGGAAAAACAGTCTCCTGACAGGGAAAGTCAGGACTCCTTCCACAGCAGCTCATGTACCTGGTTTGCATGGAGTTGGGAAAGTACAGGCAGTCCCGTGTTACAAACACCTAACTGACATACAACTCACACTTATAAATGGAGGCTATTACAGTAAGTCCCCTAGTTTACAGACATCTGACTGATGGATGACTCACACTTACGAACAGGGGCTATCACAGGTGCTAGGTAAATGTACCTGTCCCAACTTACATACAAATTCAACTTAAGAATAAACCTACAGAATCTATTTCATTTGTAACCCCCTCTATATTCTTTACTTTGCTTTTATAAAAGAGATAATCAGCAAAGAAGCTGACATCCTGGATTTGCTTCTCACAAAGCGAACATCCAAGATGTAGGCTTGGATTCTCTCAGATTCAACCCTGTTCCCTACAGCTGCTCCGCTTCCGTCATGTCTCAGTGGGGGGCATTTCCCCAGCCTGTCCCACTAGAAGGCCAGCTCTTTGAGAGCAGGGAGCCGCCATGATTTCCTTTTTCTCCATTCTATCCCCCAGCACAGCAACAGCACCTGGCCAAGTATAGCTGGTCAGTAAATATTTGTCGAGCAATAAGTGGATTCTTCTGTTTAATGTTTGCCTTCCTCGGGGGCTGGAAATGTCACTGGGAAAAGCACTGTAACTGACTTAGTGGTCCCCAGTCCCTAGAGTGGTGTCTAGGGAAAACAGACAAAAAGACCTATTTGGGGAATAAAAGATGATTTATTTTATATTTGGATATTGTCCTTACTAGGAGATCAAGGAACACAAATGAATTATTTAAAGGCTTTTTAGCATAAAATGTCGTGGCACCACATAACCAGAGGTTCCCTTAATCAAGCAAAGTTTAAGGTCCCTGGGATTCCAATTCGCTATCTGCAATTAACACGATCTCCTGACTTACCACAAGGTGGCAGTGTGCAAATTAAAGCAGTGGCTGCACCTCTCCCTGCACAAAGGACTTGATTTTAATTGTTTGTGGATTATGTGCATTCATGCCTGTAGGGACATTTTTATGGTCAGAATCTTTGTGGAAGAGGTGATGAAAGAGAAAGAGAAGTAGAGGGGGAAACGAAAGTGTCAGCCTTTGTCACTCACTAAACTCTGAAGCCTTTAGACCTGGCTTCAAAAACCCTGGTGGGTTCTAGTCCTGGCCCCATCACCTAATGTCTGTGTCACCTTGAACAAGTTAATAAAGTTTCCTAGGTTTTAGGTTTCCTTCCTTGTGGACCTCACAAGACTTATTTGTGTGTGTATGGCTGTATGTGAATTTCAGCAAGGAAAACATCGCATTTTGACAACTGATTCTGCAGGGAGAATGATTTATGAGAACTTGGCTCTACAGGTACGCTGGCTGGATCAAAGCCTAGCTCCACCACTTGCTTGTGGTCCTAAATTCTCTGTGCCTTGGCTTTCTGCTTTATAAAGTGGGAATAATGAGAGTAATTACTTACCTTAGATGGTTATTAGAAAACTTAACTATCATATATAAAGTGCTTAGACAGTACCTAGTAAATGTTCATAGTTAGCATTATGAGGATTATAGCAATTAAGTCAAATGGAGACTATAAAAAAACCTTAGGAAATGAAAAATTGAATAGGCTTATTCTTCATCCAGGCCTTATTTTACTTTGCTCTTCCTTTTCCTGTTTCCTCTCCGGGTTCCTCTTTCAATGGTGCAATCAGTAAGGAATCATCTGAAGGCATATTGACACCTGCTCTGTATGTCAAACTTTGTACCTCAGCTGTTAGGCAAGATCAGAATTTCTCTAAAATCCTTTTGTATCATTCCAGGGAACCTGCTTTGCATTTTGCTTAGGTTTGTATGTACATTACTGGGGAAATTGGCCTTTTTTATCCTATGTTTGCAAGGATAGTACCATTTTCTCCAGGCATGGTGACTGTGCAAGTGCCCTGCCAGCCAGATGACAGCGTTCAGCTTCACCTTCTGACCTTCTGTGTGACAGTGACTTAGGGAATTTTTCATTTTTTACAGATGAGGGGGAAAAAACTAAAAAAAAATTAAAAAGAGCTAAATACACAAAAACAAAGATGTGACCTATCAAAAACAATAAGATCCATTGATACAAAACAAAAGGTATGAAGAGAAGAAAGCTGGTCCAGCTGCCTACTTACCCCGAGAATCTGGCTGAATAAAAAGGCATAGAGGGGAGTGACTGTTCCGTTAACAGCTGCACCCACACCCCCCACCAGCATGTAGGGCCACTCCGGAGCGTTGACTTTCAGAATCCTCCTAACTGGGGCAGGTTCAACTTCCTCTTCCACAGGAGTATCTTTGTCCTTGAAGGGAGAGAAGGTTGCATCAACCATCCAAATACACACACAAACATAGACTGAGCATATACTCTTTGGCTATACAGCAGACCCTTTGGCATTCACAGATTGAAGACTTTTAGTTTGATAGCTTATAAGTGACCTCAAACGTCTATGAGAGGCAATGATTTGTTATTTTTCAAAGAATGATTTTGAATGGCTTGAGACTGTCTTGTGGCTTGGGTGAGCCTGAACCTTGAGGACTCATCTGAAGGCGACTTTGTAGTTCTCATTTCACGATCACATGTATATAAACTGTCAGGGAGAATAAATATGTTGGATCTTTGGAAAAATAATACACCCAATTAAAAAAAAAAACTTTGCTATTGTTTTTATGCTGGTGCGGACTCGTGAAATTTTCAAGATATGTTTTATGTAAATGTCAAGGTACAATAATCCAGTAACTTGAAGCTCAAAGATAGGCCAATATATCTGAAATAAGACAAAATAATTTTAAAAATTAATTAAGTAGTATCAACGGTTATTGACCTATTTTCAGTAAGAGGTTCCTTAATTAGCACCCACAAGCAAGTGGGATTCCATCTGGATTCCCAAATTGCACGTTTTCTTTACAAGGAGTGAAAATTAATATTTCCCTATTCTAATCTCTCTCTGATTTAGTTGTCATTAAAGTGTTAGAACTGGCAAATTTTTCAATGCCAAATATCATATATAGAACCCCATTATTTTTGCCATCATTTTTCTTTGCTATAGATATTACTCAGTGCTTGGTCTTCAGACCCATTTATTGAATGATTTGTTAAATGTATTACCCATGTGAAGAAGGATTTTAGGTGGCTTATATATATTTTTATTGTTTTTTAACTTTTCCATTAAAATATACTAAAAATATCTACAGCAAATAGACTCCAAAACAATGCTCTCTTTCATTAATACATAGTCATACACATATACATTCATTTACCTTTAGGTAGCTGAATGTCAAGAATAGACAATGAGATTTTCAAAAATGTTCCCTTTGCTTACAAAGTCAAAGACCACATCCAATTTAAATAAAAGCCTAGCGCCATATCCATTTCATTGTAGCTGCAGGCCAAGCAGGATGGAGGGAGGCATTTCTTTCAGGCTGTTGATGAATCTGCTGCTGCCTCCATTTCAAGTTCTCTCTCAGCCTGCCCCAACATCTGCACTTCGTCATCACTGCTCCCTCATGCACCAAATCCCTCTGTTCAATTATTTCATCTCTGACAGCTCATTAACTCCAGGCAATCAATGCCAGAGGAGAAGAAGTGTGCCTGGGAAAGCATGAGTGAAACAGCCATAGGAAGAACGGGGCCCTCGGACAAAGCCCCACACAGCCACCAAGAGAATGCATCACCAAAGGCTCCAACTCTCAGAACCTGTTCCCTCATCCTTAAAATAAGAGAGCTGGACTAGGTTGCCCTGGAAAGACAATATCTCTGGGGCATTCAGGTTTCTGCATATCTTATGAACAGAAGCATTGACCACCATTGGCCAGATTATTTCTTCAAAGATGCTTGTATACTAAACAATCTTGGCAGACAAAGATAGTGTCTTTATCTCAAGCAAAAGACAGATGGTCCATCCACCATCAGTCTGACATGATAGAAACTTTCCTAACTTGCCAATACCTGAAAGGATCCCAAACAATACCTAAACTTAAAAGCAACGAGAAGTCATCTTTGCTCAGTGGTTTTCATTCCAACATAAATTCACAAGAAATGTAAATGAATTAGTGGAACACTTTTCTTTTGTCCCCTAAAGTTTGACTTTAGAGAAAACTTTCCCAATATTCCCTCCAAAAGGCAGCTGTCAAGCCTGAAAGGTGCCCCTAGAAAATCTGTCCCTGAAGGACGAACTTTTGATTGCATTTTATTTGCTATCTCTACTGAAAGAAATGTCGAGGAATAAAAGAAAACTATATAACAATATAATTAAAGTCATTCTGTACAGAAAGTCTTTTTTCCTGATTTTTCAAAACTAAATGTAAAGGGAAGATGGATAAGGTACTAGCAAATCAGGGACTCACAGAGAGAGGTAAAATTGTAGTTTATATGTTTCCTCACAGCAGAGTTCATACCTGTATTGAGGCACTGGCAGGCTGCAGAATGCATATTTTTTTTTAAAATAAAATATAAGAAAATATCTGTCAGCAAGTCTATGGTAGGAGAGCCACAGTCGCTTTTGTACATCTCTGCGTCTCCAGCATGAGACCCAGCATTCAATAGGTGCACAATCAGTGTTTACTGGCCCAGGGAAAATATAACTTCCGACCTAAATCTTCTCTCCTCTGTTCTATACTTTGTTACAGTGGTTTCTGCATTCTACTCAATAGAGGTCTCCTGTCCTGATAATAGCTTTAATATTTGTTGATAAGAAACAGTAATTAACAACAAAGAAACAGAGATTTTGTAAATGAACAACTACCCACCGTCATTTTTATTTGTCCTGCCTGTCTTATCTCTTAACCCATGCTAAACTGTATTTTACAAGTTAGCTGTGATGAAGTTATGGATGTCTAATATATGGCCTCAGATTTGGTCTAATATTTGATCTCATATATATTCTGTGTTGTTTTTTACTTTCACTGAAAGAGATGCCTGAGTGTTAGACAGAGACTGAGACCTCTAGCCTGTGCATGTCCCCTCATCCTAAACTTAATTCTATCAGCACTGCTTTAGATATGACCCTACTTATGGGAGCTAATAGCACAGTTTGGAGAGCTAGGAGAAATGGCATATCGTCTTATCTTGGTGGATAACCAACTACAAACCCTTGGGGAAGAAACCCTCCTTAGAGTTTGGAAGCGCAGACATCTTAGTTTTCTGAGTCAATACTCTATACGACCACAAGGTGGCACTAACTCCTTTGTTTAAATCAACTTTTGACAACAAAACATTTACCCGTCTCCAGAAGGCGAGGTTAAGTCTTCTCCATCAAAATGAGAAAAAGGATTTCCCCAATGCTTTGGCAAAACTGAGAAACATTTACTCATTTGATGGTCCTTGGGATTAGAAATTTCATAAGTCAAATTTTATTAACCCTAATTCTATTGTTTCCTTTTAAAATTCTTTAATTCTCTAAATCTAAAGCACTCATAGTTATTGTACAAATAGTCTTAACATAATAATACCCTTTCCTCTTGGAACTTTAACATAATCACACCGGCTTCCCTTTCATTTTTGTCTCTTCTTTTCTATCCGCCTTAACTAGAGAGAATATAAATTAGCATCTTTAAAAAATTACAAAGGTTTATTTTTCATTGAGTTTAATCATTCTAGTCTTAATTTATAATGCTGATGAGTAGAATATATGGAACATTTTATTCTCTCTAAAACTAGCCCCTATCTTTGATTTAGATTTTCTTCTGAGTGTTTCCTGCACCCAGAGAACTTGATGGGAATCAGGTCTAAGATATTTGGCCAATCTCACGGCCCTCTCTAACAATGTTAGGCCATCTACCAGCTTAAACAACAATGATGAAATAGTCAGGTTTTGCTTTCCTCCCTCTTTTCTTTCCTTTTCTTCTCACTTTTATTGTCAAAAATTGACGCAGGAACTAGAAAGAAATTCAAAAATTGAATATGTTTGCTTCTGTGGAGTGAAATGTTAATGTAGTTCATACAAGGGTTCTCTTCCTTGTATTAACTACTGTTCTTGTAATGCATTTTGTAGTGATTTGTGGCAGCATCATGGACTAGATGAAATCTCTATTTCTAGAATTAGAAGAAAAGTTGATCTTTCTCTCTCACACTTGAGTCTTTAATGACAAGCTGCAGTAAGACATTCTGCTTGCTATGTGTGTTTTCTCTTGCTGTGATTCATCCTACTGCTTCTGAGAAAAACTGGTGGAATTCATTTAAACCAACTCTATTAGATATTGATAACTCTGTTTATTCAATATTAAAATATTAAAACCAAAAGATAGCCTTCAGCAACCTCGATCATAGTCAGAAGGTAGTTACAGTCATAAATAGACTGTACTTTATTCCAGATTTGTCCGTTGTGAACCAATGTTTATAATTACTTACTAATGGACTCGTATATTGGAACTTAATTGAAGACAGCTGAAAATACTTCATGCATAATGGATGTGCTTGTAATTAAAACATTCTCTGACTTATTTGCTTTGATAAATCTTGCAGGTTGGGCTTTATTTTATTGTAGAACTTCAATTTTACATTCTAGTTTTAAAATTGCCTGATGTCCTACTAGTTGGGAAGCTCTGGGTTAGGTGACCAAGGCGATTCAAACACAAATATGATGCAGTCACTACCTTTAAGAAGCTTATATTATGATTTCATAAGTGGGTAAGTCAACATGGCTTCAATTAAGACTCAATAAGAGAATTTACCATGGAAAGCTTCTCATAAAGGGTTATGGGGGAATGAAAGTAAGATGAGGGCTGAGTGTGAAGTGATCAGGACAGGCTTAAAGGAGAATGCATGGTTACCTCATGAGTTACATAACATCACACCAGCAGGATACTGTTGTGAAGTTATGCATCCCCTGAAG